AGTTAGAGTGCAAAGAAGTGTAGACACTGTGGTTAGGTGTTGTCAGGCATGGCTTCGAGAAGGCCGTACGCAAAGAGCAAGGGGCACTGGACGCCGCCGTAGAACAACAGACCGTGAAGATCGTCGCCTAAGATTATTGGCCTTAAGGGACCGTTTCTCCACTACCAGGTCCATTGCAAATGAATGGTTTGCAGAACACGGAAGACCTATTGGCATGCGAAGTGTTTACCGACGAATGAGAAGTTTTGGCTTGTTTTCATACCGGCCACACTGGGTCCTCCCTTTAACTCGAGAACACCGACGTAATCGCCTTGAGTGGTGCAGACAACGGTCACTCTGGGATCAGGAATGAAACAGTATTGTCTTTAGTGACGAGTCTCGATTTTGTTTAGGCATGCACGATGGTCGTGCCAGGGTTAGAAGGCGACGTGGTGAAAGGAGGAATCCACAGTTTTTTGTTGAAAGACATGTTCATCACACTGTTGGAGTTATGGTTTGGGGTGCTATAGCTTATGGTTCCACGTCACCTTTAATCTTCATCAGATGTAACATGAACGCGCAGCGTTAGATCCACGAAGTTCTAGAACCCCATCTTTTACCCTATCTTGACACCCTGGCAGATCCAACTTTCCAACAAGATAATGCCCGACCACATGTTGCAAGAGTCACAATAGACTTCTTTCAACATAATGATGTCACATTGTTAGCATGGCCACCAAGATCTCCCGACTTATCCCCAATTGAGAACGTGTGGGATATGATGGGTAGGAGATTGCTCAATTTGTAACGTCCTCCTCAGACTCTAGAAGCACTTCGAGAGGAGTTGGTGGTTGCCTGGAATGAGGACATTGACCACCTGATCAGAAGCATGCGTAGGCGCGTTGGAGAATGCGTAGCACATCAGGGTGCATCCACACATTATTAAAGGTCAAAGGGCTTTAAAGCAGTGCAATCAGTTTGAAATTTTTATCATTTACTTATTATGCATCATTAAGTACTTATACAAAATTTTAGTAAAATAAAACCGTTTAAACTGGGTGTTCGGATTTATATGTCACTTAGTATATTTTGAGTATACTTTAATGCAATAATAAAATTTTCGAGACATCTCAAATGGTTTGCGTTTTATTTGAAAAGAAAGTTGTCAAGTCCTTAATGGAAAACCCGTTATAAAGATGACCGAAAAACAATGTTATCAGATTTTTTTGTCAAAAATGCAATTTTTCAATTTGCTTCAAATTGAGCTTGACGATAAAATTGACAATAAATTGCACAAAAATTACATTTACCGACAAAAAAATTAATAACATTGTTTTTCAGTCATCTCTATACACACCATAATCAGATGAAAAGTTTTTAGAATGCTGCTGCAAAAGTCAGTTGAAAAAACCAACATGCGCCTAACGCGATTTTTTTGTAAATTATTTTGTCGCGATATAAAAAACATTACTTAATGCCCTTCAAATGCATTTCTCTCCTACAGACTACAGATGCTGAAACGTTGTCGGAGCTAATGGTTAAGCATATAAGGTTTTAATTTGGGATCAGATAAAGTACGACGCACTGGGAACACCACTAAGGGCCTGTGACATTATGACAGCTTCCAGTATTACTCTAATCAACAGGAAAAAAACATAATGTAATTATCAGCTAATCCATGTAGAAGAATGTTACCCCTCGTCGTCAGGTTATCAACAGATGTAACACCAATTTAATATTCTTTGATAGGACCGGTTACAAGTCATTATCGAGACACGAAATCATCTTCCACATGACAGCGGCAGTGCCGGTGACTGTCAAGGTACCATCCTTTTCAGGAATTCGAGAAACAGGTAGACCAGACACCAGGTATACAAAAGGAAGATAAATGTTATTATGATGACACCTTGCTGGTTACATGTTGATAATTTGACAATATGAACCCGCAGAATACAATGAGGTACTACCTAGCCAACCACCGGATAATTTGTCACAACAGAATTTTAGGATATTTCCTCGTCGTTGCGGTATTGGGAGATAATTGGATAAGCTATTCTTCAGCTATTCGCAAGTGTTATTGTTGAGGATTAAGGACTCAAAGTCACTTTATCCACTCTCTGATTGCATCTTTCAAGACGGTAATTCCGCCTGGACGAGAATTCATAGAAATACCTCAAATTTTCATATGTCCATAGAAGTGTAGTTAAACATGTTTACGAGTATACGAACTTTGAATGAAATCCAATGCTTCAGGCGGCACGTCCCTTTTTTATATTTCTTTTCAACTTCCTGTTTGCACCAGTATCCTAAATTCTTTTCATCTGATAATTTCATGGTGTGTATAGAGATGACTAAAAAACATTGCTTTAATTTTTTTTGGTAAAAAAATCCATTTTTTGTGCATTCTTTCTGCAATAGGAACTTGTTACCAAATATAAGTACAGCTCTGAAATTGTGTGTGAATATTCCTCTTTTATGGAAGAATAAAACGCTGTCACCAGTTCATAAAGTATTGTGTCCGCCACAACATACAGGGTGAGTTTTTAGTGTGGGCTTTGTACTTCAGAATGAATAAAATGGGTTCTCCAATTTATACAAAAACATCTATTTAAAAAACAAAAGTATATCATAAAACGCATCACCAGTTCATCTTTATTGTATTCGCCACAACATACAGGGTGAGTTTTTAGTGTGGGCTTTGTACTTCAAAATGAACAAAATCAGGTCTCCAATTTATACAAAAGCGTCTAGTTAAAAAACAAAGGTATATCGTAAAACGGTATCACCAGTTCATAAAATATTGTATCTGCCACAACATACAGGGTGAGTTTTTAGTGTGGGCTTTGTACTTCAAAATGAACAAAATCGGTTCTCCAATTTATACAAAAACATCTATTTAAAAAACAAAAGTATATCATAAAACGCATCACCAGTTCATAAAGTATTGTGTTCGCCACAACATACAGGGTGAGTTTTCAGTGTGGGCTTTGTACTTCAAAATGAACAAAATCGAGTCTCCAATTTATACAAAAGCGTCTAGTTAAAAAACAAAGGTATATCGTAAAACGGTATCACCAGTTCATAAAGTATTGTGTCCGCCACAACATACAGGGTGAGTTTTTAGTTTGGGCTTTGTACTTCAAAATGAACAAAATCAGTTTTCCAGTTTATACAAAAGCGTCAATTTAAAAAACAAAAGTATATCGTAAAATGCTATCACCAGTTTATAAAGTTATTGTATCCGCCACAACAAACAGGGTGAGTTTTTAGTTAGGGCTTTGTACTTCAAAATGAACAAAATCGGGTCTCCAATTTATACAAAAGCGTCTATTTAAAAAACAAAAGTATATCATAAAACGCTATCACCAGTTCATAAAGTATTGTGTTCGCCACAGTGTAAACTTTGTATTTCAGAATGGACAAAATCGGTTCTCCAATTTATACAAAAGCGTCTATTTAAAAAACAAAAGTATATCATAAAACGCTATCACCAGTTCATAAAATACTGTGTTCGCCACAACATACAGGGTGAGTTTCTAGTGCGAGCTTTGTACTTCAAAATGGACAAAATCGGTTCTCCAATTTATATAAAAGCATCTAGTTAAAAAACAAAGGTATATCGTAAAACGGTATCACCAGTTCATAAAGTATTGTGTCCGCCACAACATACAGGGTGAGTTTTTAGTGTGGGCTTTGTACTTCAAAATGAACAAAATCGGTTCTCCAATTTATACAAAAACATCTATTTAAAAAACAAAAGTATATCATAAAACGCATCACCAGTTCATAAAGTATTGTGTTCGCCACAACATACAGGGTGAGGTTTTAGTGCGGGCTTTGTACTTCAAAATAGACAAAATCGGTTTCCCAATTTATACAAAAGCATCTATTTAAAAAAAAAGTATATCGTAAAACGCTATCACCAGTTCATAAAGTATTGTGTCCGCCACAACATACAGGATGAGTTTTTAGTTTGGGCTTTGTACTTCGAAATGAACAAAATCGGTTCTCCAATTTATACAAAAACATCTATTTAAAAAACAAAAGTATATCATAAAACGCATCACCAGTTCATAAAGTATTGTGTTCGCCACAACATACAGGGTGAGTTTTTAGTGTGGGCTTTGTACTTCAAAATGAACAAAATGGGTTCTCCAATTTATACAAAAACATCTATTTAAAAACAAAAGTACATCATAAAACGCATCACCAGTTCATAAAGTATTGTGTTCACCACGACATACAGGGTGAGTTTTTAGTGTGGGCTTTGTACTTCAAAATAGACAAAATCGGTTCTCCAATTTATACAAAAGCGTCTATTTAAAAAACAAAACTATATCATTCCGTTTGAAGCTTCTGTGCTCTTCCTAAATATGTAAACAAAATTCAGAAATTACAGTGTGTTGTTTTAGGGTAAATCGGTTTTTGTCAAAGTTAAACTAGTTCGGTCCTGCATTTCTTTTCATGTTCGTATCGCAGTTTCAGAGAAATATAATGGGTGGTTAAAAAGTGGCGAGATAATCAAGGAATGCCAAAAATCGCTAAAACGCCTTCTATCTCGGTTATATCCATCAATCACAGGTGATTCATAAGCCTCTATCTACGGTTAAAATATGATGAAACACCCTGTATAAAAGATCCCCCACAATAAAAGAGTATATCCTGTTACTGACAACTGCACTACTGGTTGCCGAGATATTGACGGGATCCCGTCTGCACATGCAAGAAATCATGGAATGATTAATTACGATTTTACATTTTTTTCTATTCCGAAGCAGCGCGTAGGGAGAAGTCTAAATACCAGGGCACCGCGGCTGATAGGAGCCTAAAGAAAATTAAGTAATCCGATTTTTAAACTGCCTAAGGTTAGTAGAACTGTAGACTATTACTCAATATCGGTAAAAAAGAGCTAGATCTGTCTGCTTAGCCCTAAACAAATAGCTTGGCGTTTTCCCAGCAGCTGCCGCTATTGACGACATCAGTTCAAAATGTTATTCAACATATAAAAAAAAATAACTTACTTGGAAGCCACCCCTGTGATGGGAATGGTGAAACTGCGGTGTTTGGATCATGTCGTCTAGAAAATCGAATTCGTTGTCGGCTTCCTTAGCAAGGAGACTGTCTTCTGATGAAGCAGTGGGATCATCAGCTTTCTTTAAAGAATCAGACGATGTTACATTTGTACCTTCGGCTGATGTGCTGACGTTTGCTGCATCCAAGGATAGATTTTCTAAATCTTTCAGATTTATGTACCCCTCCTGTAACAAAAAACGCCATATAAAGAGTGTATTCAAACATGTAGGGCTGGTCCGTCCCTGATGAAATAAACGAGTCAATGGGCTCAGGCTTCCACCTTATAGTTAAATGAATTTTTCGATTGAGTCACCTAAGTACCACGTAGGTGCTCATTCCGATGTGTGTAAATGAAAAGGTCTTTTATATAAATAAACAAAAAAAAAAAATTCTGGGTAGCTTTTTTTCAAGTGCCAAAGTCTCGGGTGTTTTAAAAAAGTATGGAGTACTGGTCTAAGTAGTCTACAGAAAAGTTGTAGAGGATGAAAACGCCTTTAAAAAGAGACCTCATATGTCAATTTTTTTGCAGCGGCTACGTCGTTAGACACGTTGTAAATAATGGTCAACACGAAAAAAATTATCGGAAATTATAAACTACCAGGCATAAGACATATGGGATTTGACTGTAAATTTTAACGAGAATTCGTATAGTGACAGTTCATGTTGTGTTGCTCAAGTGTCTCAATGGGCGTAAAGCCCAAAAATGCTTTCTGTTGGGAATACAGGGTGTTAAGGCCGCACGTCCCTTTTTTTCGCTTTTTTTTTCAACTACCTGTTTGCAACGGTATTCTAAATCCTTTTCATCTGATTACTTCATGATGTTTATAGAGATGACTAAAAAACATCGTTTTTAATTTTGTTTTGTCATAAAATGCATTTTATTGTGGATTTTTTCTTTGATCGTAACTTGTTAACAAATATTAGTACAGAAATTGTAATGAATGTTCCACTTTTATGGATGAATGAAAGAAGTGTTTACTTTTATTCCTATCACTTTTTCTATTCCAAAATGTTTGCTTTTCTTAAAGACTCAACTGCGAGTCGAGGCTTCACGAAAATCAAAGATTTTTCGTAAAGGAAAAGTGATAAGTACAAAAGTCATCACTTGTTTCATTCTTCCATAAAAGAGCAATATTCACACACAATTTCAGAGCTGTACTTATATTTGTTAACAAGTTCCGATTGAAGAAAACATGCACAATAAAATGCACAAAAAATGCATTTTTTTGACGCAAAAAAAAGTTTTTTAGTCATCTGTATACACACCATGAAATTATCAGATGAAAAGGATTTAGAATACTGCTGCAAACGAAAACTAACTCTTTATTGTAGACTCAACGATATAATAAAAATAACATGAAATCACTGTAATAGAAAAACTATGAAAGATATTCAAAAACTATTTGCGCAGCAAGCTTGACATCTTATAGGTGCGTATTCCACAATTATTTGGAAGGTGTTGTATAATTCCGTGGCACAATAAACATGTTCTCTTAATGAAACACCTTATAAAAATTAGAAGAAACTTGTAAAAACAAGAATCTGATAGTGTACGAGGTCTGTAAATACAGTGATGAGACTGGCAACACTGGAGGCACCGGGCTCGGAGGGGAAGCAGGGGGACATGTGATCCGCCTCCAGTACAAGTTTGAACTCGCTCGAGAAGTTTGATTGTCCATAGGGACCTTTTTTGTGCAACAGGTTTTTCTATATATTTTTCTATGACTTTTTTCTCTTCCGGAAGTTGAAAAATCACCTCAAGCGAACTCATTTCGGGACAGTAAAAAATATTCAAACGGCTGCAACCGACCAGCTGAAGGCTATTCTAGTATCGAAGTTCCAGCACTGCTATGAGCTGTGGAAGAACCGTCTCCAGCGCTGTGTGGCTTCAGAAGGGGGTTATTTTGAGGGTGAAAATATGAAATTGTAATCATATGTCATCACTTACTTTTTCAGACCTCCTAAAAATACATGCGATGTTCCATTTAAATTTTTTGAGAGAAACGTTTTGGGTTTTGCAGCACCCTGATAACGTTGGCGTACTTTTTATCCACTAACTATATGAATTTTCTCTAAAATTGACCGGTGATCAAATTCAATGCTTAGTGCCTTGTACTTTTAAGGAAGCGGTGAGTATTTTCGATGATTTTTACCTGGATGTTAATCAGCACAAGTGATTAAAGTTTTGGGTATTACTTCATACTTTCTATTGTGCGCCTTTTGGTAAAAAAAAATAGAATTGAAATATGTCGATATGCCGGAAGGTATTTTCATGCTCTGCTGCTTTTCTGAAGCAGTTTTACCAATACTTGAGTCACCTAAGTACCACGTAGGTGCTCATTCCGATGTGTCTAAATGAAAAGGTCTTTTATATAAATAAACAAAAAGAAAAAATTCTGGGTAGCTTTTTTTCAAGTGTCAAAGTCTCGGGTGTTTTAAAAAAGTATGGAGTACTGGTCTAAGTAGTCTACAGAAAAGTTGTAGAGGATGTAATGAATGTTCCACTTTTATGGATGAATGAAATAAGTGTTTACTTTTATTCCTATCACTTTTTCTATTCCAAAATGTTTGCTTTTCTTAAAGACTCAACTGCGAGACGAGGCTTCACGAAAATCAAAGATTTTTCGTAAAGGAAAAGTGATAAGTAGAAAAGTCGTCACTTGTTTCATTCTTCCATAAAAGAGCAATATTCACACACAATTTCAGAGCTGTACTTATATTTGTTAACAAGTTCCGATTGAATAGAACATGCACAATAAAATGCATTTTTTGACGCAAAAAACAATAAAAACGATGTTTTTTAGTCATCTCTATACACACCATGAAATTAAAGATGAAAAGGATTTAGAATACTGCTGCAAACGAAAACTAACTCTTTATTGTAGACTCAACGATTTAATAAAAATAACATGAAATCACTGTAATAGAAAAACTATGAAAGATATTCAAAAACTATTTGCGCAGCAAGCTTGACATCTTATAGGTGCGTATTCCCCAATTATTTGGAAGGTGTTGTACAATTCCGTGGCACAATAAACATGTTCTTTTGATGAAACACCTTATAAAAATTAGAAGAAACTTGTAAAAAGAAGAATCTGATAGTGTACGAGGTCTGTAAATACAGTGATGAGACTGGCAACACTGGAGGCACCGGGCTCGGAGGGGAAGCAGGGAAACATGTGGTCCGCCTCCAGTACAAGTTTGAACTCGCTCGAGAAGTTTGATTGTCCACAGCGACCTTTTTTGTGCAACAGGTTTTTCTATATATTTTTCTATGACTTTTTTCCCTTCCGGAAGTTGAAAAATCACCTCAAGCGAATTCATTTCGGGACAGTAAAAAATATTCAAACGGCTGTAACCGACCAGCTGAAGGCTATTCTAGTATCGAAGTTCCAGCACTGCTATGAGCTGTGGAAGAACCGTCTTCAGCGCTGTGTCTCTTCAGAAGGGGGTTATTTTGAGGGTGAAAATATGAAATTGTAATCATATGTCATCACTTACTTTTTCAGACCTCCTAAAAATACATGCCATGTTCCATTTAAATTTTTTGAGAGAAACGTTTTGGGTTTTGCAGCACCCTGATAACGTTGGCGTACTTTTTATCCACTAACTATATGAATTTTCTCTAAAATTGACCGGTGATCAAATTCAATGATTAGTTCCTTGTACTTTTAAGGAAGCGGTGAGCATTTTCGATGATTTTTTCCTGGATGTTAATCAGCACAAGTGATTAAAGTTTTGGGTATTACTTCATACTTTCTATTGTGCGCCTTTTGGTAAAAAAAAAAATAGAATTGAAATATGTCGATATGCCGGAAGGTTTTGTTTTTCTTTTGTAGACAACCACCCTACTATATTAGACACCTTGGTTAATTTGAGTTTGCAACTGTACCTCAGCAGCTTCATCTTCCAAGTCCACAAGCTTGAGTGCCTCGTCCAGGAAAAATTCGGGGAGCGGCAGCGAGAGGTCCCCAAGCTGTAGGTCACATGAAGGGATGCACTCTGCTCCAGAAAGGGTGTCGCTTAATTCTTCTTTTACTACATATTCCCCTATAAAGAAGTAAATGCACGTGGTTAAGGTACATGTGTTCAAATTCCACAGATAATCAGGACATGACTCATAAATGTTAAAAAATGGCGTCAAGTAGGTTGACTCTGCACTTCCTTCTCAACGCCATCATCAGTTCATAAAGGATTGTGTTTATCACAAGTTGTACCCTCCGAGAAAAAAGTTAGTTACGAACATGTATAACACGGTAATTGAACGGATAGTCAGCCAAACAGCCAAGTATGAACGGTTTTTTGGCAATTATATGATAAATTAATTAGATACCGTTCCATGTTGATTAGAATTATTTATTTTAATTTTCAAGCGAACTTGTGTTTTAATTTATTTTAGAATCGATCCTAAACAGATTTGACTGAATTCACATTTGAAAAATGTGTAAGCTCAAAATAAAGCCACTATTTGGGCGCATATTTTCAACATGTATCTTAATTCAGGGAACAGGTGTAACATATTAGCAACGCGGCAGACTACGCGTCAGCGTTGCTAGGCAACGCGGTGATGAGCCGGTGTCCATCTCTTTCTATGTCTATACACACTTCTCTCTCGTACACATTGAACTCAAGCCATCAGACAATTTTGGGACGTATGTTAAGCAGAACCTTAGGACTGACATCTCTATGCCAATAACCCTGATCAACAGCCAAAAAATATCCTAAATAAAATCAACAAAATATTACTATTTTTAGTGTGCTAAAACCGGAATGAAACTTATTTTTTCAATATTAGTTCAAGTTTTAGAGATACGGTAATTATATGTGTGCCTGCTGTGACAGTGTTAATATACTGTAATTCACAAGAATGCACGTGCTACATTTTTATATTCGGCAAGGAAAGATGATGTAATCGGCATGATTGTGTTACGTTCTACATACGTGTACATTATATTGTTTTATATTAGCCATTTTTTCCTCAGTTGGCTGACAGCGTTCATGCAAGATGTCTCGAAAGTGTGTAAACAATCCAAATCAGTTTTGTTACGTGTGTGGTGATGTGACTTTTGCGTCTCAGAGACGGTCTATTACTCCACTAATAACAAAGGCATATCAGCTTTATTTCGGTTGTAAACTAGGTGATCAAGACAAACAGTGGGCACCTCACATCTGCTGTAATACATGTGCTTCAAGTCTGAGGAGCTGGTTAAATGGCAAAAAACGGTCTATGCGCTTTGCTGTCCCAATGGTTTGGAGAGAGCCTACAAATCATATTCATGATTGTTATTTTTGCATGGTACCTTGTGTTGGACAAGCCACAGGTATGTCCAAGAAAAAAAAATCGGTTATTAACCACCCAAACATACCATCTGCGATGAGACCTGTGCCTCACAGTGACGAAAATCCTATTCCAAAACCCTCAGAATCCTACACTTGCGAATCAGAAAGCGAATCAGATCATGGCGATCGAGTGATTCGTCAGGAACAAGATATGCCATCAACGTCAAGAGATCCTGATTTTATACCGAGCACGTCATGCCACCAACCGCACAAAATAACACAGTCAGAATTAAATGATCTTGTAAGAGATTTAGAACTTCCAAAATGTAAGGCAGAGTTACTTGGATCAAGACTGCAGCAGTGGAACTTGTTAGAAGACGATGTTTCGGTATGTGTTTTTCGTAAACGCCACAAACACCTAGAACCATTTTTCAATATGGAGAATAACTTGGTTTTCTGCAGTAACATTAACGGCTTACTGGCGGCTTTAAATATAAACTATAACCCAGAAGAATGGAGATTGTTTATAGACAGTTCGACATTGAGTTTAAAGGCAGTGTTATTGCATATTGGAAATATTTTACCATCTCTTCCTGTAGGGTATGCAGTTCACATGAAAGAATCATATGACAATATGAAGTACCTATTGACATGCATAAAATACGATGAGCACCAATGGCATATTTGTGGCGATTTGAAAGTTGTTGCACTTTTACTTGCTCTGCAGCTAGGCTACACAAAGTTTTGCTGTTTTTTGTGTGAATGGGACAGTCGGGCAAAGGCACATCAATACACTAGACAAAACTGGCCTGTTCGTCAATTCCTAGAGCCAGGTCAAAAAAATGTACAGCATATGCCATTAGTAGATTCGAAAAAAATTGTATTACCACCACTGCATATCAAGTTGGGCCTAATGAAAAACTTTGTCAAGGCATTAGATAGAGATGGGTCAGCTTTTCAATACCTGCGTCAGAAATTTCCAAGACTAAGTGAGGCAAAGGTTAAAGAAGGTATTTTTGTTGGGCCACAGATTCGAAATATTTTGAAAGATACACAGTTTGAAAACACAACAGGTATTGAAAAAACTGCTTGGAATGATTTCCGTCTGGTGGTCACTAATTTCTTGGGAAATAGAAAAGCTGACAACTATAAAACCCTTGTCAAAATATGCTGTCATCGTATCAAAAGATGGGCTGTAATATGTCTCTTAAGGTACATTTCCTAGTCGAACGTTTTCATCAGGATATTTCAACAAGGGAAAAAACGTACCAGGGAAAGTGGAACCCTTCCATGATTGCAGACTACTGTTGGACTCTTGGTAGAGATGCTCCAGAAACGATCCATAAAAGAACAGCAAAAAGACAGCGCATATAGTGATTCTTATAAGTATATGAATCTTGTTACTTTTTTTAATATATCCTTAAAAATAAAAAGTTTTTTTTCTAAACCGCAACTAATTTTTTTATTTCATTGTCATTTTTGGATTCAGAGCCCCAAAATTAACAGAGAAGTGCACTTTTCCCACAAGATACAATTAAAAAACTAAAATTTGTTGTCCAGTGTAACATTTATAATTTGCTGTTTTTAACTTAAACACCATTCTTTCAAGATTTAAGACTGAGGTAGTAGAACCACCACAAGCTTGAAACAAATGACAACTATTTCAATGGTTTGGATATATAATTCACCATATAACTCACATACGAATATGTTGAAAAAAAAACATTAAAATCAATTGATACTAACACTAAAGATGAAATTACAAAAGTACTATTGATTTATCCACTTATCAGTACTAGATGATAAAAATGATAACCATAAGATGTTTGTTCCGGCCCAGACTTGTAATTATCGGAACAAAGATAAAAATGTAATTGTCCTTTGAGATATCACTAAATGAGTATAGGTAATGAGAACATTCAAGGGTTCATATTTTTGCTTTGCATTCAAAAGCGTTGACAGGATTGAGGGTTACAGACATAGCAGAACCCTACAGCAACAAAATCATATGAAGTCATATATGAAATACAGCTGTAAGGGCTCGCGCAGACAGAAAGCGTTCAAGCGATCCGAGTTCTGCGTTCTACGTTATTTGTAACTAAAAGAGCCTCGCAGAGACAGCGACAGTCAGGCCGCGGCAGTCAGTGCGAACGCTTGCGTTCTATTGTCAGAAATAAAAAGAACTCGTCAGATAGCTTCCATAGAAAAACTAATTGATTTAGTATAAATACTGGCAATCTTTCTTTTGTAGATATGGCCTTTCCCCAGTTGGTATCTTGTTTCTCTATTTCCTATTCCATATAATCATGCAATTCATTAAAACTGCTCAATGACATTCGGAAATAAGTAAAAAAAATCGTTCATCATCTTCAAGCAATGCAGAAAAAAGAATACTGAACTCTCCTGTATCACCTCTCTCACAATTGATCGGATGCACTCAGTATCTTTTTTTCTTATTAGACTCTTCCAAACTCCTTCAAAGGAATGCTTCGTCTTCTGAAGACGAACTATCGAAATACATGTTTTACCTAGAAGTAATCTTCTTAAAATGGAACACAGTGTTCGTGACCGCCTCCTGTCTGTGTATGAACTCGTAAGAGGAACGCGGCTTGAACGCTGAACGTTTGTCTGTCTGCGCGGGCCTTAAGAGCGGCAGGCTTTCAAGAAGGCTCAATATCTTTGCTGGTACTCGTGGTTTTTGAATGAATAAGTACTCAAATACGCAACAGTTTGACTATGTATAATCCCCCATATTTGGCTGGGACCGGAATGTCCAACTGATAAGGCTGAAATTTTTTTCACTTGTTATTTACAGTAAGATAAATACATTCACCAACGGAAGACCTATTGGCATGCGAAGTGTTTACCGACGAATGAGAAGTTTTGGCTTGTTTTCATACCGGCCACACTGGGTCCTCCCTTTAACTCGAGAACACCGACGTAATCGCCTTGAGTGGTGCAGACAACGGTCACTCTGGGATCAGGAATGGAACAGTATTGTCTTTAGTGACGAGTCTCGATTTTGTTTAGGCATGCACGATGGTCGTGCCAGGGTTAGAAGGCGACGTGGTGAAAGGAGGAATCCACAGTTTTTTTTTTGAAAGACATGTTCATCACATTGTTGGAGTTATGGTTTGGGGTGCTATAGCTTATGGTTCCAGGTCACCTTTAATCTTCATCAGAGGTAACATGAACGCGCAGCGTTATATCCACGAAGTTCTAGAACCCCATCTTTTACCCTATCTTGACACCCTGGCAGATCCAACTTTCCAACAAGATAAAGCCCGACCACATGTTGCAAGAGTCACAATAGACTTCTTTCAACATAATGATGTCACATTGTTACCATGGCCACCAAGATCTCCCGACTTATCCCCAATTGAGCACATGTGGGATATGATGGGTAGGAGATTGCTCAATTTGCAACGTCCTCCTCAGATTCTAGAAGTCCTTCGAGAGGAGTTGGTGGTTGCCTGGAATGAGATACCACAGGAGGACATTAACCACCTGATCAGAAGCATGCCTAGGCGCGTTGGAGAATGCGTAGCACATCAGGGTGCATCCACACATTATTAAAGGTCAAAGGTAAAATTTTATTAAAATAAAACCATTTAAACTGGGTGTTCGGATTTATATGTCACTTAGTATATATTACATTAAAGAAGAATTTCAAATATACGTGGTTTCATTGGCCAAACAAACATGGGGGTTTATCGACATGAACACCACAGGATAAGTTTCAGATTTTACATTAGAATATGTCTATCATT